AGCATAAATGTTGAAACTTGTAAGTCCTATATTTTTTCATTACTACATCTTTAACATTTTACAATTAATACTTTGGGGGTTCCACCTCATATTACCCTTTAATAACGATGGCCAACCGTAGTTCCATTAAAGTGTTTTTATTCTGGTGTCAAAGTAACATTATAAAATAGTAACACTGTTTTTTTTTCTGTCGTTTCAAGGACTGGGAAACGCATAAACATTTTTTGAGGATACTGAATGGAATTCCCACGCTGGACAAAATGCCAAAGCAGATTACGATTCCCGGATTGGACGCTATGTTAGACGACGCGAACAAAGAAGGATCTAGGAAATCTAAGACACCTGAGAGTTATCAGAGAAAATTAAGCGCGTTGAATTGCTCGTACGGACACGCCGCTCTATTTATGTATTATCACATACACGATTTATACAAAAACGACCGAACAGACGATGAAAAGAATTTTTACCTGCATCGATACGCAAAATGTGCGCACCGCATTTTGTCGGTTATGTACGCATCGAAAAGCTCTACTTTTCGAGCTGTGTGGTTTGCGACTATTGCTATGGACGCCATCAGACACGGTGCAATGGGCAAGGACGATATGATATTCAACATAACGGTGTTGACCATGGTGGCTCCGATGAAGAAATGCCACAAAGACACGTTCATTGCCGAACTTTTCCTACCTTACAACGAGCTGGTCGAAAAAGAACCGTATGATTTTGCTGCCTACAACGACCAACTGTTATCCAAGTTGATGTTGTCCGATGGCAACGAAGGCAACTTTATGATGGATCTGTACCGCGGCGAAGAACGATTCGACATTTATCAATTATTTTGGGATGACAGTAGAAGCTACACAAATATAGCTCCTCCGGTCATCTGGTTTCCGGTGTACGACGACAAGCATTTGCGAACTGTGTACGAAGACATAGCGTTGAATTGGAAGAATTCCTTGTACATAATAATCCGGTACAAAGATGCCGTCATCAACCTCGTTTTGATGGTCACGTATTACGCTCTGCTTTTGCACTTCCACTATTTAGAGACCACGTGGTATGGTGTAACAGAGCTGCTCGAATCCGACAATTTCACCGCGTTGGTCCGGATCCCTTTACCTTTGGCCAAGGACATTTTTCATGATTTAAACATCTCCGAAGACAATACGAGTCTCGTTAAAGAAATAGAAGATAATCTCGCCATTAACAACAACACCGACCGGAATACGTTCAAAGCTTTTGTCAATCGACTGTTTTTAAGATATAGCTGTTACACTACACATCTAGACTTAAAAAAAATGGATTACACAATGACGAAGACATTTCTGGTACCGGACCAAGTGACATTACCCACCTTGACAATAAAACTATTGGAAAATGTCGGAATACTGAACAGTTATTATGAAACCGTCAAACGGATATTGTCACCAACCACTCTTCGTGTTATCGAATATTTCACATCCTCCAAACCGGTGTGCGTCAGAAAATGTGAGATATAAGCGGACTATGTTAAGGAGAATGGAAAGCACCAAATTTCATAAAAAATAAAGCCTAACTACAAGTTACTTTCTGAAATGTATACTAATCCAATTTCAATTTTTTTTTTTTATCATAAAGCTTAACATCATTTTTTTTTTTTTTTTTTTTTACTCAAAATGTTATAATAAGCGTTTTTCTCCTTAAAATTAGGCTGTATATTTGAAATGGTTAATAGACCAATTTTTTTCATATATTAATTATTGTTTACCTTTTAATAAATAACGCTTTCCGTTCTCCTTAGGGAAAATGACACTTTATTTGGTAGTAAATAAAAATAAACTTCTAATAAATGTTGTAATAACAAGTTATTTTATTAATAAAAAAACTAAAAACACGCTTATTTATGTTTTTCTATAAAACTCCTAAATGTATTAACTCCAACTAAACGTTTCCCGTTTAACTAAAAACGTATTGTCCATGATTCAATGATTTTTCGTGGAGTGGAGAATATAGTTTTTCGCATTTAGTGTTGGTGAATCAAACGTCAAGATAGCAAGTATTAAAATAGTAGCTTATCAGGGTCGGCGGTCCAATTCCACAGATTCCATTCAACGCCTTTTGTCTTTTTGCATAACAATATAACCTCTTTGCTTCACACATATGTAGGTTATTTTTTATTATTTATTGTTAAACGTGGTACATCTTAATTTTCTTAGATGGAAATTCTAAAAACCATCAGTTCTCAGCTTTTCGCCAGCTCGTTATACATTGTGGGTTTATTACTGTTGTCGCCGTCGACGTTTCACAAACAAGTATTTCGCGCGTTTCTATGGATCCGTCGTGACGCGTACTTGTATTTCATCATAATATAAATTACAAAAACCAGGGGTTAATCATAAAAAAAAAATACATTGAATATATTTTATATTATATGCACCTACCCTCTTAGCCGATACGACAGAATCGCGCGCCAACATGACGAGAACACTTCGTCGATTGTTACTATAGTTGGTTCTGTATTTATAAAAAAATAAACAACGACGAAAATGAACGGACAAGCGAGATTTCTTCGTGGGAAAAATTATTCGTTTTCCACAGGCAGCGGGAACGTGGCGTATGCCGGTCGCGGCTTGGAAGACAACGGGTCGTCCTGGAGCTCGGAAAACAGTCTCAGCCAAACGGTCAACATACTGCAGCCGACGGACAGCTACGACAATTTGCTACCGGTGAACGGTGCGGAAATCCGGCAGTTCCGGCAGAGCGAGAAGCTCAAGTACAAGAAACCGGCGCCGGTCGACTGGAGCAGCCGGCTGGATCGTTTGGTCAGCGGCTGGGAGAAGCTCAAACAGTCCAATTTCAACACGGACGACATGACGGTCAACTGGGCCAACATGATCAACCCGCCGGAAGACGACCGTCGCTCGTGGGAACCTAGCAGCCAACTGCGCACCTACGACGACCCCGAAGGTGGTGGCAATGATTTCGCACCGGGAGTGTTTGTTAGGTCAAGCCAAGGTGAGATCTATTCTAGGTCGAGAGCAGCGTTGTTCTGGATTGACAGGCGAGGTTCCTTGGCTTTTGTGGTTCCCCCCGGAGGTCTACTTAACGTTCGGCGTGAACGACACACTTTAGTCGCCTTTTACACGACAGACGTGTAGACCTTGGAAGTATTCTTTCTCCCCTATTCACAGGGATAAAGTTCTGGATTGACAGTTAAGACTAAGCATTAACCTAATCATTACCAGATGAGAATGGCTTAACCTAACCTAAGCTAGGTACCTACATCGTCGCCTAACTAACGCAACCTCGTCTATCATCAATATTATCTCATAAATCTAACCCAACCTCACCTTGTCTTTTAATTGTATTCATGCCTCGATGAAATATTAGCATCACACCGACGCTCACTGTACAGCTTTCCTTCTTTGTCCTATATTATGCTTAAACCCCGGCATGCTTAGTCGTGTTAGATCAAGTTGAGATTAATAGATAAAGAAAACCCTTCTACCCTCGCTGACTTTTAATGGGTGTCGTGTAATCGTTTTAATGCAAGCAAGCCCCGTCTGACCTTTTTTTTAGATCCGCACCTGGCTGAATACTCCGACGACGAAGCTGCTGTCTACACCAAGTTGCCGGCGGAACCGATTTACCCGAAGACCTACGAAGACCTGATGGCCCTCCGATTGGCCAACAACGAGACTTTGCCCGTCACTACCAAATACAACAACGTGGGCAATCAAAACGCGTATAAACCGTCGAAGAAAAAGTCCACGCCGGGTATGGACTTGACTTTTGGCGAGAAACGTAACCGGTCCCAGCCGATCGTAAAGCAAATCAACGTTAATGTCGACGTTGCCAAAAACAAGGCTGCCGCAGTCAAGAAAAGCACGCGAGACGTGCTTGACAAATCGATTAAGGCAAAATTGGGTGCGAAACAAAACCCGCCCCGTTTAGAAAAAAGTTCCAGTGTGGCAAAACCAAAATTTCCACCTACCCTGTCCAACAGCAGGACAATAAAGAAAATAAATAAATAACTATTGCATATTTTTTTATTCGCATTTACATTGGAAATTGGTGTCTACCATTGGATGTGAAAGAATTACTCTGAGCTACCAATTTGGTTTCCGGACTGAATTCATTCGACTAATCAAGAAGTGTGGCCAATATAAACGAGTTACCCGCAGTTAGGTTAATAAGGAATAAACAGGTAAAAATGAAATTTATCAAGATAAAAACCCGAAGATGATGTGGTTAGCTGGTAGCGAAGAATGATCGGGTGACGTACTCGAAAGAAAAGACTCATAGGTAATGGTTGGTAGATCTAGACTCTAGATTCTAGAGTATAAATTATTATAATATGAACAAGGTAATCTAAGGATAAGGCGGCATAAGATGAAAATGGGAGACGGTAGATGCAAGTCTGATAGGTTAATTTTTTGATTGTGGCTTGATTTACTAAAATCAGAGAGCTTACCGGTTATTACTAGGTACTATTATAATACTTAGATACTCGATATTGACTAACTTACTTTACCTTAAAGCAACGAGATTTATCTTTTACACTAACTGTCCCGTCGATGATTTCCCCTATTCATTCATCGTCTTTGAGAATCTGTAAGACAAAATGAACATTCATCGTTAAGCAAATTAAATAGAATAATGCGTTATGACATTATAAGCTCATTAAATTTAGCCATCTAAAAAAATGATACATTTTTAATATTTCTAGGGAAAATAATTAAAACTTTCAATTAACTAATATAGTGCTAACTGGACGATTCTTATTTTAGCTTTGTATTTTCATAGCTATAAACCATCTTATTTTTCTCACACAAAAATCATCAGTAAATTTCCAAAGATGTCCAAACTGATATCGACAAGGTAGAATCGAACAATAATTTATTAAAAAAAAAAAAATAATAATAAAATTATACTTATTAATCAAAATACAGAAAATAACAGAAAAAAGACATTTTTTATCAACAACACATTTATTTACATAAATATAATGTAATGAAATAAAATATATAAAAATGAAGCAAGGTAAAATATTGGGTTACAAAGAAAAAAAAATCGAATTTATTACATATTTTATGGAATGTATTCAAATAACAACGGAATCGTCCAAGTTGATATCTTAACTAGAAATAACAATTACCTACTATTATAGTCTTATTAAAAAAAAAAAAAACGGTTATTAAAAAACGGTATTTTATAAAATTTTGTCGAATTATACTTAAACGAAATCGAATTTATCCAAGTTAATATTTTAACTGTAAATAAATTATAGTTACGGTATTGTCTTTATCGTCTTCCATTATAATGGCAACAAAATTGTATTTGTCGAGACAAAACGCATAAAACCTTCGCAACGACTCGATACAAGTAAATAAAAACAAATCAAATCAAAAGTAAAAAAAAAAAAATATTACGTTAACTATTGTTAACGGAATCAAAAGTTGAAAGTACAATTTAAAAGTACAAAAAAATTTTTTAATAATAATAATAAAATAGAGGACAGAGAAACACTAGGAATTTGATTGTAGTCAAATTGTATGTGTACGTCGTCTCGGTTCTCGTGTTACACGACAAGACGGCTTGAGGTATTTAATCGTAATCGGCACTGTTGTAATTGTAACTCTCGGCTATCGACTTCATGCCGATTTGTTTTCTCGTCAGAGGTATGTCTTCGTCTTCGATAATCTTGGTGGGGGAAAAAGACAAGGTTAATTATTTGATTTGACGTCAAATGCAAACATATAAATATTTTTAGTACTACGACAACGCTTACCAATCTCGATCCGTCTCTCAACATGATCGCCACGTTCCGGCCGGGCACTATTTCCACCTTACCGTACTTCTTGAGAAACGTACAAATGTTCGACATCCATCGCAGCACTCGTGCCTTGGAACACTTGTACGCTATGTCTCGTTCTTCGTGATACTATATTATGTATAAAAAAAAAATAACAATAATAAAATACAGTGTTTAAAAAAACTTAAGCTAATAATATCAAGTATCATTTTTTTGTGGTACATTAAGATTTATCGGGGAAACCATCGTATCACAAGTAAAATGGGACGATGAGAAAAATTTTGAAATGAATTTTTTGTACTTAGGTAACGAAATTTCATGACTGTTTAGATTTTATTACGCCAAAATGTTTTAAACAGTTAAAATGTTAATATTACTGTGTATGACATTGATTAATTGTACACTTGAGTGGTTTAAAAATATAATTTATCAAAAGCTGATAAAAAAAACGTTATACATAGGAAATATATTTCTCCAACATTTAAAAGCAAACTTTAAATTACAAAAGGAAATACAATAAAAATTTATTTCAAGCAATCCCAGCAAGTTCTCATGTAAATAGTAAATAATAAGGTAAAAACAAACAAAGAGAGAAAATCAAATATTATAAAATATTGGCTTTGGATAGGCCAAAATACACTTCAGTCTGTTGTAAGCGCTGAAGATGACAACATCGTTGTCATAACACATGTACGCAAGAAGTGTATAATTTTTATGGTTTAGGGTTCAAGTAGATTTTATATCTTTACTACAAAATATACTTGTATATTTTTTTTAAATTACTTTCATACTATAAAGAACAATTATTAAGATGGGCTATTGTACACCTATTTATTTAAAAAATATATATTGTTTTTTATTACTTTCAGTTTAGTTCCTTATCTTTATTGGTGTGATTGGAGCAAAATATAAATATTAAGTATATAATTTACATGTTTTTTTGAGGGCATATTGAATTTAGCATGTATGTAATTTGTTTACATATTTATCTTGTCTATAACCGTAAAAAGTAAATTCCAAATAATAAACAAGTAAAATTGATATATTTTATTTATAAGAGTACATTTTTTTATTTAGCATTAATGCGTAGTTGAGAAGGTATTGTTTTTACGTTGATGGGTTTTTATTTTTAATATTGAACTTACAATAACTTCTAAACCGTAAAACTGATTTCTTTGTATAGCAACTCAATATAGATCAGAAATCGTACCCAAAAGGTACTTTATTAGACCATAAATTTAAAAACTTCACCCTTTCCGAATTAGTTCTAAGAAAGGTCTCAAATGAGCCAATAACATATACAATTTTCTCAAAAATCAGAAATCAAACTTTTTTTTTAATTAAGGAAAAGCCAAAAATTACATTGACCCTAGACAATATCAAGGTTTGCTATGTGTGAGTGAATCAACAGTCGTCAGGGGTTGAAAATAATTTCATTTAATGTTAATCGGGATATATAGATAACGACGACAATGTATAATTAATGATCAATCCTAATCGTATCCATCCTAATAACAATAATACATTTTTAAGCACAATATTATTTTCATTACGTATAATGCTTTAATCAACATTTCTATTTTTATTTTCTACCATTACAAGTTTGCATAGAAGCCAGATACCGTTTTTTATTTTTACTTAATTTCAACTATGCTTCTAACATATTTTTTTTTTTGTTTATTTTTATTTTTACAGCAAGAATTGTATAACATATATTATCTATAAATATTATTGCAAAACCTAAACTAAGAAAAATATAAGAAAATAAATATTGTTATACCTCCCTTTCATAAAATATTGGGCAGGTGTATTAATATTATTTTTTAAATAAAAGAAACCTACTGTTTAGCTTGTTCTTCAATAATTTATGTAAATATATCCCATCGTAACATGGTAGTAATTTACAGACATTTAACGACAAAATCACCCAAATATTAAGCTCAAATTGCAGTTATTTAATTTTGAATTGTAAAATATTTTAATGTGGTTTCTCAAACTGTATTTCGTTAATTTAAATAAATTTATTTAAGTAAACATTGTAAACAAACTATGTTGTAAAACGTTTTACGTAATTTTACGGAAATCTCTTGGTTAAAACGCAGCTCATTGTTAATAACAATTTACCGAACATCCAAGACCGTGTCCGTACATATCGGATTCGAGGTGGGTGGATAATTGAAAGCCGCTGTCTATGAACATTCGGTTTAAATGAATGTTGAATTTCTTTATGATTTCATGAAACAACCTCTCCAGAGATCCCATTTTGAACAGTGATTTACAGCTTTTCGGAGCGTCTGTAGAAAACGGACAATATTTCAAAATAACCGTTGCATGACTTTGTCAAAACGATAAACACTCACTATTTGGAAATACGGTTTCGTACAATTTTTCCAGACTGCTTTTCGCGTTCATCATATTGCTGCCGACTTCGCTTTCCATAATGTACATGTATGGCAAATCTAATGTACCTTCTTCTAATTCGCGTACTTCCACTGTGCCGTCCTAAAGTCAAAGCGACCACCATCACAACAACAATATAAGAAAAATGTTTCACCACAATGGCCGACTCACTTTCAAGAAACTCAGGAATTCCAACAATATTTTTTTATGATCGTCCGGATGATCTTCCCAACAAGAAATCCGATGGAAAGTGTCCGAATATTCTCTCATGCCGCCTCCGTAACCACGTGGGTAGATTTTGGCTGTAAAAAGAAAAAATTATAATAATGGGTACTTTATACATCTACTAGTAGTAACTGTCGAGAAATAACTTAAGTCTAGTATTGTTACTAGACATGACTTACATACACCAACCATTTGATAATATGTGCGACTGACACCGTTCTTCAAAGTAAATTCGATCGCGGCGATTTCGGCAGGAAAATAATAGTGTTCAGATGAATGAGTGTGCGAGTTTACGTGCAACAAAATAAATTTTTTGTCGAGTAGTTCTGGAAAAAAAATTAAACTACAAAAGTACTTTGTATTCAAACTTTTGTTATAAGCGATATGTACTCGATATAGTGTTTAGTCGTAACAATAATAATCGTATAAACAGAAAACCGAATAGTCTCTTGATAGAGACGAATAAAAAAAAAAGTGTATTCATAAAAAAAGTTATGCATGGAAACGTTTTTTTTTTTTTAAATAAAAATTGAAATGCTTTTTTTAAACAAGAAAAAAATAAAATGTTATTTTAGTAGAAACAAACTCAAATAACAAATAAAAAATATTTTTAAACGATATTTTAGTTATTAACTTGAACAACATTCTATTTAAATACAATAATTCATAAATATGTACATGTAAATCAATATGTACATTTTTATCATAAAAAAATTAACTACATTAATGCATAACGGTTTCGGACAACTTGGACATAATTTAAGTAGAATAGTTTATTTACCTATTTTAAAAAAAATTTGAAATAAATGATAAGCATCTCTTCTTACCTTTTTCATCGGTAATGAATTGGAACATTTTTTCTATGTATTTCTGCATCATCCAATATTCTGTGCTGTTTTCGTGCATCTTCTTGATGTTTTCGGGAATATTTTTGCTCCGAGCTGTTCTTTCTGTGCGATTCATTTTATCGGCCAAATTTTTAAAATACTGTTTATCCTCATTTGTCATGGACTAAAACAATAATTCATACAAATTTGTAGTTTAATTTGATCCATCCACTTATATTGTTTAAATAGCGCGCTTTAAAATATAACATTCAAAATTTAAACTTACACTCCATATCGGCGCGAGTTCGGTGGCCAGCTCGGACATGGTTATTGATTTTCTTCCTTGTTTTTTTTCTGCTTCGGCTTTATGATACATCAAGAAAGCGCCGAACGGATTCTTCTTGGGAGCCATAGTTAAGTACAAACCTTCAAACCAAAAACAACAATTAAGACATTTTACCGATACATAAAGGTACATATAAGATAGAAAATATAATATATATAATATTATAAAATATATTTTGAAACAAAAACTCAATCAATAGTAAATTTTGAACACATCGGACATGCATATACGCCTCAGTGATAGTTAAATAGTTAAGTCAGCAAGATACCAAGACAGTAAAATAAATAAATAGCTAAGTGGTAATAAAATCACTTTAATTAAATTAGATTAATCGGTCGATAGTAATGCCCAGCGCTATAAGAAAGTCCACATTATCTACATTGAAGTACTTTCTGTGGTCAGTGCCGTTATATTTTCAAAATTAAATAAATAACTTTTAAAACAATGGTCATGCACATTGCAACGCATTATATACTCGGCATAAAGTACCGAACATAAAATTAAATTTCAACTTTGATAATAACATATCTGTGAATGAACGTTATATTCTAGGGAGGCTATGTTTGCTATGAAAATGTGACATTTATAAATAATATCCGATGAACCCGGTAGCTGCAAGCTAGGTATATTTAACTAAGCTATACAAAAAAATACATAGTATGTCGATAAAAATATATTTTCGAGACTGGTGAACTAAACTAGATTGGAAATTTCACGTTTTCCTGATAGCTCCTTTTGGACTTTGTCCTTACCGACAATGCCGTCGGTTTTGTTACGCACAAGAAAGACATAACCGGATAAACAAGACTTACGACAAAATATTATAAGTTTTGAAATATTTGGACAACGTCGGTAATAATAACTTAAGTATTGTTGTCTGTTGACAAGGTTAACTAATTAAAAATATAGGTACAACTGTTAGGCGAGAAATATAACATGATATTATGTTGTGGTACATTATATGATTCGACTCACCTTGATTTCGCGTCGATAGGGCACACTCCAAAAAGACTACAATATTATATTATTAAAATTTTGAACAACAGCTACAGCACAATAAATTACTAATATGTAGACCACAGAGAAATCCATTATGTATTATGTAAACACATGGCCATGGCGCAAATGTTATCAAAATCTGTGTGGTTTGCTCTTATCAGTTGTTATCAGCATTTCGCGTCTAACGGCCACTGCTGATCAAGTGCTTATATTATAACATTCGACGGGGTAATAAATAATATTATGCAGCTGCTGAGACTTGGGGTATATTTATAAACAAACGAAGGGCACTAGCGGGTCTGGTAATTATTTTGTGGGAGGGGGGGTGCTAAGTAAATATTACAAAAAAAATAGAAGACACAAAACGACGCCGACAACGAGGAGTTAAAGAAATTTGTAATTTTCTTGTCAAACAGACTATAAACGTTTAACGCTTTGGAAAAATATAGGATACAACAGTTATAGGTATGCAAGTGAGAAATCAAAATAATAAGTAACCGTAAAACGCCATGGTATATTTAATTGACTATTTTATTTAATCGATACCAAAAAAAAAAAAAGGAAATATGTAAATATATATATTTTATATGATTATCTACTTAAACGACCACCCCTAAAGGGCCATGACAAAAGTGATTAATACACTAACCACCGCACATTAAAGAGTTAATATTTTGTTTCCTAGCACAAGTGGTTCTAGAATCTATAGATTGATTCTAAAGTACTTGCTGTTATTTAACAGTTTTTTTTTCTATAATTATACATTAGTAAATACCACATTTTTGTGGTAAAGAAATGCTGTGACAAAACAGCGAGACTGGCTGGTCCAGTGTCGATTGTGTAATAAGAAAATAATGTTTTGTTGCCTTCAATGCCCTTAGTGTTTATTATTTTTTAATACCTAACCTATTGCTGAAAATATATTAGGTATTTTTTTATTCATAAAGATTAATAAAATTAAAAATAGGCACTCTGACCTAGATGTTTTACTAGTTATATGAAAAAATTGATAAAGAACGACCATTAAATTAATCACTGTAGGTGCAATAAATTGTAATTTTATAATGAATCATACTACAATATAGAAAATAAAACATAATGAAGATAAAATATATTACAATATACTTACCTAATATGTGTGGCCTTTTTTTAAATAGCCAATAAGTAAAATGATATGTTTTGAAACAAAGTAATAATAATTATTATTACAATAGGTTTATACACTACTTAATTAGTTATAGTTCAAAAGTATTTAAATACTTTGCAAAACTGCACTTCCAAACAGTTTACCAAACTATTTGCTTGGTTAATTTTAATTATTTTTTACATGTATGAACTAAATTACATACGTATATTTACTCAATATTTTTATGTGTGAAGTACAATTGTTTATATAATTGGATACATTTAATTATTTATTTACAGTTCTTGTAAGAAATGTCCTCGTTTGATGATGTTTTTTCGAGAGACATAATGTAATATAAGTATTAAATTTCTAAGCTAATGAACTATTATAAAAAAAATCAAGGTAAGATTGGTTCTTTCCTTTATGTTTCTAAATTAACATACTGTTTAAAAGTGGTTGTAACAGGGTTAAAATATGGACTTATCATAAATGTTTTTATTAAAATTTTTTTTTTCTGTGTCATAAGTTCCTGATAAAAATATAATAATATTATACAAAATCAAAAAATATGTTTTTATAAATAGACTATGTATTTCCTGAGCTAATGAAGGCATTAATAAAAGACTTAAGACTTATTATTGAAGAAGTTTAAAAAATGTATTGTTATTTTAAATATAATTTTTTTTTTGTAAATATTGATCAAATATTATTGTTACCTAAATAATCTGCCTAGCTCGTTTATTATTAGCGAAAGGCAATATTTTTTTTACTAGCCTAATAAACAAAAATAAAATATATTTCATTCCATACTCTTTTGAATGGACAATGATGATATTATTATTATTAGAATAATAGAATTCATTATATGTATAATAATAAATATTAATAAACTCAAAAAAATGAAACATGACAGCTTACTTTTCGTTTACTAAACGAACCATTGCTCTTAACATAAGCAGTACAATATTTCACTAAAGAATTATATAAATTGTACAAACTATAAATTACAATAATTATGACTAGAATTAACAAAGAGTTTGTGTAACTAATTGTTGTCAGATATATTTTTTTAACTATAAAACTAGTTGAAATTTAGTGTATAATAATAAAAAAAAAAATGTATTAAGTTTTAAGTTAATTTATAAGCATCATAAAAAAAAGTAGCTTATTTAACTTAAAAGTATACTGAAAAAAAAAACAGTTATGTTAATAGTAATTAAAATAGTTGTTTTTCTTATAAAAGACTTAAGTTCAGTTTGTGATTTTGGTTTTTCTTTAATGTAGTCAACGGCTTCCAATGAAAACTATCAATTTACTTTTGAAAGTAATTTAATTATTAAAACTAATATCTCGCTAAGCTAAAAAAAACACTCGTCATGGTGTATATTGTATACTTTTTAGGACATTTTCAAAAATTATGAAATCTTATAGCAGAAAGGAGACTTCTTCGTAAAATCAAATTTTACAGGAGTCACAATAACTGTTTAGGTAAGACTGGAAAGGAAAGAAGCACTTGGAAAAAATTCCTTTTCGGTATTTTCCAAAAATTACTGCAAGTTATTTATTATAAGCCATTGGCAGATATTTTGAATTATGAACAAGTCCCCTTTCTGCGCTTAACCATTTTAGTTGCACCTAAAACACAAGAGATTGTAATAAAATCAGGATATTAACTAAATTTCAATTTTGTATAATAACTGTATGGTAGTCTAGGACTTATATATATTATATATTTAGGTACATTTTTAGCATGTATTATAATAATATTTGTCATCTTTTACATACATTGAGCAATTAAGTGAAAAATATACTATTTTGTTTAAGTAATTTTCTGTATTAACATATTTGTTTTGATGCAAGTAGTGTTAATTTTTTCATTTAATGCTTAGTAAATTTAGGTGACCAAATGATAAAAATATTTAAGTTAAAACCCCGACAAATTTTTATATTTTCAGTATTTACCAATAAGGTACCCACATCACTAAGGGCATTGAAGGAATATTAGACACAGGTATTTTCACCTCTTATGAAAACCTAAAAAATTTTTTGTTAATAAATTAATTTTAAGTAATAATTGTTGAATTTATATCGTTATCTACTATACTTTTGCAGTAGTAGAACTAATTTCACACAATTATAATTTAAAAGCCCTACGACGTGTGAAATTACCGATTGTTCTAAGCCGTCGATATGAAAACCTCACACGAGCCCTGGTAAACTGATGATTTTAGCATCTTTGTAAAATGTATCGTACCTATTGTTTAATATTATCTGTTTCGATTAGTTCATTTATTTTAAATATTATCATTCGACTTGGAAATTGTCTCTGTAAAATAAAATAAATATTTTGTAAACAACTTAAACTATCGTCTAATGAAACTTTTCTTATTTTTTAACTGTTACTTGATTTGTTTTTATTTTAAATATTTGTAAGGGTTTCTTATGACTTAAATCCACCCCGCTAATTATTATTATTTCTTATGATAATATTGTATTGATAAGCGGACAAATACGGTTTCTTACATGAAATATTCCCATAAGTACAGTTTCTTCCATGAAATATTTGTTTGCGCGCAAGCGTCCGCCGCGACATGACCGACTTTGGTGTTGGGAAAAATATAATAATATATATGCTACGCCCGCCCCGGTCACGATACACAGGTAAGTCAGCAACCGGCGCTCATCGCAAAATGGCCGCCGGGCGGCCGTGTGTCGCTTACGGCGGCCATGTCGGTAACGCGAACCGTCGACACACCTTGTGTCCGGGCGGTCGCGTCGTACCGCCGACGGCACGTTTTTTTTGGCGGGAGGGCGGGGCTCGGCCGCCGTGGTGCGGTAGGGTGGGGATAACGGGGGGTCGGATAGTTAACGGTCAAAGTGTCGATCACCGAAAACAATGATAACGACTGTTTACCATAAAGCGACTGTTACAAAAAAAAAAAAAAAGTTCTAACATTCTTTCCGTTCTCTCTCTCATTTTATTTTTCAAGTAAATTAATGAGTAATAATCTCACAAGTGAACCGCAGCTATAATAATATCAATTATCAACAATAATAACAACAACGACGTTAATTTTGTAATAATCGCTGTACGTCATCGCCGCCGACGCCGCCTCTGGTGATTAATCGTTCGATTGTTTTTTTAATTTTTATATCGTGTATGTTATTAAGTCGGCCGCTAATTATTGGTGTTTTTTTGGAATTTGATTTTTTCCCCAATTTTGGCGGACCGAAAGTTTTTTTATTTTAAAGTCTTACTCGCCTTGCTGCGGCAACACCGTCGTCACTACTACTGCGCACGATGGGGTGTACGATAAGTTCGGGCGAAAAGGAAGCGGTGGAGCGATCAAAGAAAATCGACAAATCCCTTCGGGCCGACGGCGAGAAAGCCGCCAGAGAGGTGAAACTGCTATTGTTGGGTAAGTGCCGGACGGATGGATGTAATCGACTGTGTCGGGCGGACGCACAATGGGGCGACTTATAGACACTCTGGGACATTTTACAATATTTTTATTTCTTAGATTTATATGAAATTAATAATTGTTAAAAATATATGAAATTGGTAGCACAATACATTAGTTACGGCTTAATAATAGGCCCTCTATTTATTATAATATATATTTGATTAAAATTACAATAACAATTAAGGCCCGCCTTTTAATAGACTATTGCGTAAAGTGTTATATTGATATCTAAATAAGAGTTTTAAAGAAATCATCAAACTAAGGACTTAGTTTTTTCAAACACATGTTTGAATAAATAGTATTCTTTTTGCAAATTTCTTTAATTTCACATGGTCTGTCAGTGTTTTTGGTTAAAAATTTAAGAATCAACGCCATATTACCTTTGCCTTCAGTATTTATTCCCAATTTAATTCAGTCATATAATTTTTGATCATTTTTGTTTAACATAATGTGAATAACGTTTTTAACATATCATTTATTTGTATAGTTTTATTTAATTTTGATAGTTAATTTAAGACATTTCAAATCCAATGCAATAATTATTAATAATTTTGAATTTTATTTTGTATGTAACTCGCATATTAATTGTATTATATTTCTAAAATAGGAACATTATCACTGTTGTCGAAAATGATTTGAAGTCATATTAGACAGCCAAATCAAATATCGTAACTACAAAAATATTTTATAAATATAGTTAAAATTATACTTGAATTATTTTTAAATCGATATTAGAGATTCAATTACGTCACTTTTTTTAGTAGTGATCTATATTCGGATTTTTCTTTATTTGGGGTTGAATTTTAAGATTTAAATTAAATAGGCAACCCGCTAAAAAATGTATTTTTTGATTAAAAATATGTTTTGTAATGAATTCAGACTTTCATTAATAAAATAATAACCGAACCGGTTAAGTAATTTCTAATATTTTATTCAAAGTATTTAAAAGTGAAAAAAAACTGAAAACTGAAAAAAAAATTAATAATTTAACAAAAACTTAAGAATTTTTACTATCCCCCCCCCCCACTCCATTAATTGAGTGTTCCGAGTTATTATTATTTTGTATCACTAAACTTTTATTGTTAGTAATATCAGCCGCTTTATTTAAACAAAAATTATACAGTAACTATTTTTTGAACTGTTAGAACTGTATAATTTTTATGGCTAAACAAAGTTAACAATTGTATTGTTTACATTTCATATTTTTAAGATTTTAAAAATTAACTTAAAAATTTGTGAAAAAACAATATTTTTTTAAGTATCGTAAAAAGGTATATTTTGGCAACAAGCCAATTAGGCCACTAACCTTTTAAGTGTCAATATACATAAAATAATTATGAAAATAAATTTTTTCACATAAAAAAAAAAGGTTTTATAAAATTTGTTTGAACATTAAAAATATAAACATATTTTTAAATACATTTGCCAAATTGCAAAGCTCCTCGCGGAAATGTTTACAGTTCCAAAATGAATACCTAAACATTTTATAATCGTATTGCCCCTTCTATGTAAGATGAATGTTTACATTCCTAAATTAATGTGGGATTTCCTCTCATTAATACCTAATGTTTTTCAAGTTAAAATTATTAGAAAAATAAATTTGTATAATGAGCATTTTTTTTTGTGTATTTTAGGGGCCGGTGAATCGGGTAAAAGTACAATTGTAAAACAAATGAAAATCATACATGAAACCGGTTATTCACAAGAAGAATGTGAACAATACAGACCGGTCGTGTTCAGCAACACCATTCAAAGTTTAATGGCCATCATACGAGCCATGGGAACGTTGAGAATAGATTTTTCCGATTCAAGCAAAACGGTAAATTAATGCGAGATCAAAATTATTTTTGATCGTTAGAGCTCGGATGTTAATGACCATAAATGTATTGAAATATGCATTTTAAAATGTCTGTATATGCAATTATATGCCTTCATTGAAACTGACTAAAAAAGTTAGCTGAGTTTTCAAAAAGCTGACTTGTTATAATTTAAATAACATTTTCATTGGTTAATTATTTAAAAGGTAATTTATGTTTCAGGATAACATTGAGTTACAATTATTTTGGTGAATTTTCATTTAATATTTTTTCTCAAATTGTATATAATTTTTTATAGTTCATACTTGTAAATATGATTAAATAAAATCGAACATTTGTATTAATTATACTTAGTAATATACTATTAAATCTAGAAATAATCATTATAGGCAAATATATGCTCAATAGTGTCAAGTATGCAATATAAGTTTGCCTATTTTGAAATCTAGTTTTAGTAAATTGAATTTATGCTGTATTTGAGTATAAATCTAATTTCACTAAAAAAATATGCAAAGTCATAAACATCCGTGCTTTAGTGATCGTTAACATAATACTGTATTGCGACTGTCTTTATATATTTTTTCCGTCAATCGAACAGGACAATGCCCGTCAATTTTTCTCGTTGGCGAGCGCCACCGAAGAAGGCGAACTCACTCCGGAATTGGTGAAATTGATGAAACGACTTTGGACCGATTCAGGCGTTCAGGAATGCTTCCTACGCTCGAGGGAGTATCAACTCAACGATTCTGCCGCCTACTATCTAAATGCCCTAGACAGAATATCTTTGCCCAATTACGTGCCTACACAACAAGACGTATTGAGGACGAGAGTGAAAACGACCGGAATAATTGAAACCAATTTCTCATTCAAAGGGTTGAATTTCAAGTAAGTCCACACGCAACCAATGGTGAACTCGAAACCATTAATAATATCATTTGTTTGCCATTTTCCGTAGAATGTTTGACGTCGGTGGCCAACGATCTGAGAGGAAAAAGTGGATACACTGTTTTGAAGGAGTCACGGCTATAATATTTTGCGTTGCTCTGTCGGGTACTGAATAAAAAATAAACCTTACCTAATATTTTAGCTTTACTATTGTTTCTATATTATTGTTTTGTTTTACAGGCTACGATTTAGTGTTGGCCGAAGACGAGGAGATGAACCGAATGATAGAATCAATGAAATTGTTTGATTCAATTTGTAACAGTAAATGGTTCGTTGATACGTCGATAATATTGTTCTTGAACAAGAAAGATCTTTTTGAAGAAAAAATCAGACGTAGCCCGTTAAACTCGTGTTTTCCAGAATATACCGGTGAGTTTCCGAACATCAAAACTGTTGCATGATGGACAGAACTGACTATTTTTCATTATATTTTTGCACGGCAGATTAGTTTGGGTGAAGAAAAAATGTATTTGTAGACTAATTTGGTGATTAGTCGACTAAGTTTAGCAAACCCGGGCATTATTTGAATAAATATAACTTAAAAGTATTATTAAAAATACTAATTGATTAAAATAAACACTCAAAACAAGAACAATTTAATTTTAACTAAACTAAACATCCTATTAATAAAATTTCATAAGAAACTAGCCCCATATAAACACAATTGTAGATTCCGTCGGTTATTAAATAAAATATTTAAAATAACAAATAATTTGAGAATGGTCTAAGGTATTTAAATAAAATATTGTTTCAAAATATAAATAATAAATTATTTCAAATAGTTTATTAGCTATCGAGACTGTAGTAAAAATGTATTTCAATTTCAATTTTCCTCAACACCCAAGCACTTATTAATATTGTACTCAAATTGTTTTTTTGTCTATCTCGTGAACTTCTGAATTGGTCGAATAAATTTCATTTCAGTAACTTTTTACTTAAATAATTTCTATTTCTATTAGTGATTGGTCGTATAATTTATGAGTCATTCGTAAATCAACTTACAGTGAAACGAACATAACAAAAACCGTGACACGGTACGATTGACTTAAGTGCAGTAGAGAAATTGGTAGATTGTGCCCATCGTTCATCTCAATAGGCCGGTTCGATTGAAACAAAAAACATATTGTGATTCTTCCTGATTGTTTCAGGTTCAAACAATTACGAAGAAGCAGCCGCTTATATACAAATGAAATTTGAAAGCCTAAACAAAAGGAAGGAACAGAAGGAGATCTACACTCATTTTACATGTGCGACCGACACGAACAACATACAATTCGTTTTTGACGCCGTCACCGATGTTATCATCAAAAACAATCTCAAAGATTGTGGTCTGTTTTGATGAAAATAATTCTTTAAAAAACCATCGCAGTCGTTTGCCAATCCGTTTCAGTTTTAGTTAATCTTAGGACTATACTCTAATTTTTTTTTTTTTTTTTGACTGATAATAAATTTAATTATTATTTTTACGTGCCAAATATATATATACAAAAATCGAATTAACAATATAATAGTGTAATAGTATTCAATAACTAACCAAAAATCGTTGAACAAATTTGTATGTATAAAAAGAAAATCTCAAAACTGAATTTATCACCATTTTTTTCAAACAAACTTTTGTTTTAGAAATATCTGATATATTTTTTTCTTTTAGTTTATTAGTTTGTAAGATTACCATTTTTAATATCGAATTTATTCAATCGATTACTATTATTATTTTTGCATGATACCTTTTTTTTTTTTTTTTTTGTAACTAATTTTTCTATTTTGTACATGTATTTAAAAACTGTTAACGCTAAGTTGTGTAATGTTAATAACTTATTACTTGCCTGTAATTATTATTATTATAACAATGTATTATAATTATTTTTTTTAATTTAAAACGTTTGCCAATTTATTTATGTAATGTAGTGATAACAACCGCATAATAATATTGTAACGGCACTTAATTTTGTTTTACTTAAAGTATTTACTCATTTTCAAAATAGCTAATCAAATGATGTTTAATTTATAGTTAACAGTGTGATCGAACCGTACGATATTTTTTCGAAAAACTTAACAATCTAATTTTTTGAATATCTCCACTACTTGCGTTTTTGGTAATTACTTAACGAGAGCTCATATTTTTTTTTTCAATTTCGGTTTGAAAAACGATTTTATTAGTAATTTCAAAGAACAATTATCAGACGAACGCGAAACTCGACTGAAAATGTATTAAAATAATAATTCAATTATTGTGTTAAAATATTATAAATTTTATTATTGTATTGCTTTTTATAATTGTATTTTTTGGTACTTAAAATTATGTAAAATCGCGTTGATTGTTGTTTGTACCGGAAATTGTATTGATAATTGAGGGAAATTTTATAATATTTAAAAATCCTACCGAGAAATGCAAACCGATTAATATATCAAGTGTTAATAATTTTACGGACTGTTTGAAACGTTAAAGGCAGGGTATTATTAAAATAATTTTTTGAATTGTAGTATTTCTTTTTTCGTTAATAACCTAATCGGAGAGTTTACGCTAAAATACAATTGTTTTATTCGTACGAGCTTCGTAGCTCGACAACGTTAATAATGTTTAACGCTACGGTAATCGAGTTTTATGAACTGAAATAGTTTTGACAGAATTTTTTTACCCCGAATGACATTACGTTGCGAGAATTTGACTCTGCGTATTCTCTCTGACAAAGTTTTACCCGTAAAAGTTAAGAATTGTTGGTTTTCTTTGATCGTTGTTCTTTATTGTAATTGATTGGTGTTTTTATTTTTTTGGCATCTGTAACTTAAGAAAAAAAAAAGAATATTTAACTATTAAACGTTATTATATTTTTTAGAAATATTTCGTGATGACTTGAGACATATCTAAATAAATAAAAAACTAACTAAATGTGAGTTACGTTGAGAAACGTTAACAGAGTTATGTAAAGTAATTTACGTGCTGTATTTTATATTATAATTATATGACATTAATATTTTATATAGTTGTGTAAGTATTTTTATTAAATCTATTTTTTTTTTTTTTTTGGATTAATTATAAAAAAAAATATTTTTTGTACGTTAATTTTACGAATCGTTTGTGCCTTAACAGAAAATAATGTCAAATTTTTTTATTTCCTTTTTTTTATTGTACTTAACGGCAGCGTTTAATATTATGTTTACGGGTTTTTTTTTTACCCGTAAACAAAATGTTTACAATATTATACTTTTTTTGTCGGTTTATTTACATTTTTTTTTTCTTTATTTGTATTTGTTTTGTGTTATTTCAATGACAATTTTTATACTACTATTAATTATTATTATTATAAAAAAAACAACAGAAACCACATATTTTATTTTGATTGTTTACATTATTCGAGATAGAATCTCTAAATGAAATAACACGGCAAAGGTGAAATGCTTTTGTTTTGTTTTTTAATAACGAAAATTGACCATTTTTTTTTTTCATCATTGATGAAAAATATTTTTCATTTGTTGGTTTTTTTTTTTGTGTTAGTTAATATTATGTATAATAAAAATATAGGGTTTTCGTTTGGCGCTTGAAAACAAAATATCAAAACTAATATATTTTATGCTAATTAAAGTGATCTTAATAATAAATTAAAAAGACCAGTACAGTGACTAAATGGGAATAGAGTTTTTTGGGAAGGAGGCGAACACAGGCCAGTGTTTGAAAATCTCTAAAAACGTTATAAATTTTGACATTGTGTTTACTTATTATACACTTTAATATTAGGTAAAATTTAACACTGTGTACTTATATTACAACTAATTGAACTGTGTGATAGTGATTGCACGTTGAAAAATTGTAAAACTGTTATCCAATTATCTACTTAATAGGCGGTAAGCCTATATTTGTAAGTCAGTTGGGCTAAATAGTGAATAATTAAATTGATGGCACCCGACAAATCTAGTCAGTGTAATTTTCCTCTTATTTTTGGGGTTTTCCTTAACAAAAAAAAAAAAGTTGTATAATATGTTACAAGCCTTACACTAGATCCATTTTCAGTCCAATTGTCAGGCCTAAAAGTTCACAAGAAAAAGTGTCTTGCCTCTCTTGGTGGGACAGGATTTTTGATATTAAGTGTATACAATTGAGAAGAGGGATTTTAGTTTAAACAAATTTTCTATTTTTTTTTTTTAACATTTTTGATATATGGTATTAAAACATATTAGGTTGATTTTGTATGAACATATTGAACAGGAGTATTTTTCTTAAAACATAATCTCACTTATTCACCCGACAAATTGCTTTTCCCGAACAAGTCCGTCGAACACCTCGAACGATTCCAAAATATTAAAATTTACACCAGTCAATTTTTTTTTTAGATATTCTACAAAAACTTCTACACACAGAATACTCTCTCGTACCGAAGATAGTAGGCCAATGTTGTAGCCTTGAAGAAATATGTCATGTAGTCAACAGGCCGCTTTCAATCCCTTTGATACTTTTATTGCAAATTTCTGGTCAAGCCTTTAAACAATATCCCCCCCCCCCCACTTACTTATATTCAATAAGTAGGTATTTAATTAGGAATTGTTATAATATTGTAAATAAAAAATATACGATGGTTATTGACATAGTATATTCTGATTTTTAGTTTTCATAGCAACAATATCAGAATTTTCATCCGTGTAAGTTTTCTGTACAAATAATATCACATAATACTGTTCAATTGTCTTTGTTGTTTGTGATATAAAATACATTGAACGGTTACTGAAGAAACGTTTTTACGAATGTTTGGTGTTCTTTTAAAATTGTCGTTGTTGTTTCTTATTTGTTTTTAAAAGGGTCCTTGCATATTTAGTTGTACTTGTTAAATTAGTCCAAAAACTCTAAATAGCTAGTAGTAACGAATGAAAATGGCGACAACGTCAAATGTCCAATCTGCAGAAAGAGCTAGGTATTATATTTCGTTGATGCCAGTTCAGAATTTTGCTGATGATGTCTACAAAGTAGACTTAGCAAATCAGGTTATTTACAATATATATTGTAGTAGAAAAATTCAAATGCGACGCAAACGCTAAATAAATTCTTACCGCCGTGCGCAGACGTTAAAGATAAAAAAGAAAACCGAGCCAAGTCACAAGTCCAAGGTGGATATGACAATTCGTGAATTCAAAGCAAACGCGTTGTTCGTCCACACGACCAACAAGAACACGATATACAACCATGTCTGTGAAGGAATCGTGAATAGGTAAGTGGACTTTCTTGTTAGATCCTGAGTTTAGTAAGGTATATTGGATTTGGACAGCTGGTGTAATCAGACGGGTATCGAAACTTATGGGATTGAAACTGACTAAAAAAAGCATAGCAAACAATTCAAGGTGCTTACGTTCTAAACGATTGTCTTAAACATTATTTACTATTTGATAAAATCAATTTAATCACAAGTTTAAATTATACACACTGTGTTTATAACGCCCCGTATTAAAACTAAAAAAAAATGATCTTAATCCCTTTTTTTTGTGCTTTTTGATCCAGCGCTTTGGACGGCATCGACGGTGTGGTGATTGCTGTTGGCCAACAATGTTCGGGTAAAACGTATAACATGATCGGCACATTTACAGACAACGAAGGCAGCGTCAACATTCGGGTAAAGAACACATTGTTGTATGTTATCCCAGTTATCCCGTGGGAATAATCAGCACGCGATCAAGGTTAGGTTGTTAGAAAAAAAAATAAGGCCTCTTCTGCGGCTACAGCGTACCCGTGATGTGTGTAGGTCAATTTTCAATTTTCAACTTCAAATTTTGAACATATAATGAAAAGTGCAATTGTGAGTTAACGATTGGTCAGAAGCGGGGAACTTGTTCTTTATAACAGTACCTCATTTAACGATTTTGATTAGGTATGGAGGGAGAAAAAAGGATACACGATTGTTCAAAATGCGAGGCAACTAATTATTGAGATAAAAATAAAAATTTAAGTATAAAAAAAACCACATTACAAAGGGCCAACACCGATAGGTGGGAGGTGAGAGGTAAACGGATTTAACTAAAGAAAAAGTGGCTGGATGTGATGAAGGAATTGACATGAAAGTGTGTGTGTGAAGTGAATAAACATTTATGATAAATGGCTAATGGTAGAGTAGAGATTTGGCGGGTCGAGCAAGAATATTTAGCATTTCAAAAAGCTCTAACTATAACAATATAACGACTCCTTGTTGGTAAACAATAAGTTGGAAACACTGAAAATATAAAAACTGTCTTCCCAGAATAGAGGCATAGCGCCAAGACTGTTGGATGAGATGTTTAAAAGATCTCACTCGTCTTCGCCGGACAAAAAAATCTCCATTAAAATCAGCTGTGTCGAGACAAGAGACAATTGCGTAAACGATTTATTGGAACCCACTAACCCCATACCGCATTCTCTAAAAAAAGTAAGTAGTTGAGTTATACATATATTTACTTGCACATGTTACTCAACAGATATCCACTTCCCATTCTACATTAATAACTCAAAAGTAATTATTGAAAACTGCTTATCCACCAGCTTTAAAAATGTAACAATTGTATAAAATATACAATACCATTTTAGTTTCAAAAGAGTTCTGGAAAAACACTAAAATGGGTAAATAATTAAAATTTTTTATAAAAATTGAAAAATAACATGCACAAATATTTTTCAAAAAGAAAAACTCTACTAAATTGCAACTATTTTTAGAGATAAATTTTTTTTATCTGCAGAGTTAAATATTTCACACTAGTTTTTTGTTGAATTTTAAACTTGCTGTCTACATTTTATCAACAAACCTATTAGCATTACACAAAGTTCATTGTAAAAAAAAGAAAATAATGGAATACAGCATTTGTTACGAATAACATCATAAATAATATTTTAAAATATCAAAACTAATAACCTGAAATTATTTTTCTTAAAAATTTCCAATTTGGTTTATGGTTTATGAAGCATATTTTCAAAAAAATACTTAAAATATAGATTAATTAAAAAAAATTGTACATTATATCTACAAGGTAATTTGTAACTGTTAACTTAAAAATATTAGACTTTTTTAATTATTCTTTTTCATATGTTTACAGTCATTAGTAAGTTCAAACGTGATATAGATTTCAACTATTACATAACTGAAAATAAGATTTTTAAATAGTAAAGTAATCACAACATTTTAAAATTAAGAATAATTTGGTGACAATTTTTACTGGTCGATAACCAGATTTGGATAATTACTTTTATAAGTTATTTAAGATTAAAATTAAAAGTAAATATCCAAACAGGTTATCGACCAGTAAATATTATCAGTAAATTATTCTTAATTTTAAAATGTTGTGATTACTTTACTATTTAAAAATCGTATGTTCAGTTATGTAATAGTTGAAATCTATATCACGTTTGAACTTACTAATAACTGTAAACATATGAAACATATGAAAAGTTAATACAATATATAAGTTACCGTTTCAAAAGTTAAGTTCGTAGGGTTTTAACACACAAGGGATGAATTTTGAGAAATAAATTAAAATTGACTATGAAAGTATACAGTAGAATAATTTTAAAAATTATATATAACTGTATACTTTTCCTTTGCTGTACTCTCGACTGTTAATAATATTATCTATACACTTTGTGTGTTTAGCTATTGGTAAAACAAAAAATAACAAACTACCGAGACGGTCTGACGAAATTATTCGAAGCCGAATCGCGAAAACAAATGGACAAGAGTGTAAATTATTTAGGGGCCAATGTCAATGATTTCATATTCACAATTTATGTCACAGTCTACGACACTGTAAAACAGAAAAAGAAATCGTCCAAGGTAAGTAGTATTTTGATTTAAATTACATTGCATTATGTACATCCAGTACCAAAGTTTCATTGGAGGATTTTCGGATAATGTATCTACTAACGTTTTACTAAAATTGTTAGGAATAAAGACTTTTTTTCACATACAAAAAACGTTGTCACCTTTGAAATTACGGTAGTTAGTATGATTTGAATTGGAAAAAAGTCTGTGTGTCACTACATCTTATGAACGGATAATATTCAATTTTCTGTTAAACTATAAGAGACAGAAAGTCGATGGTAAACTTATTAAAAAATATTTCCAAAAAGCGTTTTTGCTTGGACTCGAACGCCATGTGCTACGATGACAGGGTGAGAGGCAAATGCCGACTCTGCTCGGTCCTATGCGCTCCTGGTACCCTTGAGCGTCACTTAGGCCACTGGGTTCCGGGTACCTTACCCTTTTCGATTCGCATCCGAGCTCGGTGGATTCGCCCTTTTTTGAAAGTACCGAAAATACCGTTATTTTAGCTCCTTAGGTAACAGGAGCACATGCATAAACCGAGCAACGTTGGCTAGTCGGGCCGGCAAAGGCGGTCAGCCGCCAATGGCACAACACGGCCATATGCTCCTGATGCAGCCTTTGTGTTATCAGCCGTAAAATACCAATACATAATAAATAAATACATATATTATAATAGTGCATATCACTATAACCAATTTTAAGTATCAGTGCCATGTTTACCCTAAGGATAAAAAAACATCTTAGGCTTACTGAACTAAAAATTACACATTACAGTTTGACTTTTAAATTAAGATTTTTCAAAAAAAATTGCTTATACCTAACTCCTTAACAAATGGAGGGTTTGACGTCCTCTTGAATGCAAGTAATTATGAGACTTTTATATGGTTAAAAAAATGTTGAACTTTCAAAGTCCATCCTTAATAAGAAATACATGTATTAAGGCCTTACTATAAAGTATATCTGTACAAGTTTTGTATATGACATGTGCGTTTTGATGATAAAAAATTATTATGAAAATTATTGGGCAATATTTTTTAACATGTAAGTAATAACTGTTAAAAACTAAATTTACAATATTTATATTGATTTTTGATCATTGGTGATTAGTATAAAATAAAAATTAAGATTATTATAATATTAAAAATGGTATAAAAAAAATTATTATTTCATAAACCGGTGATATTTTGCACAAAAAGTAATCATTTCGTCATATTGAAATATACGATTACAAAATAGCTGATATTTTTTTAATAAATAGTTTGTATTAAAAACAAAAAGAACAGATTTCATATTATATGTATTAACAATTTTTTTTTTATAATAGGTACCTAATAAAACATCAGTCTGAATATTAGCTTCTTAGAAAATTGTAATTTATTCAAACCATCACCTATTTTAATTTTACATAATATTAATATTATGTACACATAATAATTATTATACATAATTAATAGCTCTATTGCTGAAAAATATCCGTTGACTATTTATTCACTCACACGTAGCAACATAGAAATCGACTATGATTAAAGATTATTTTCCCCTTATTTTTTTGGTAGTAAAAAAAAATGTTTAACTACAGATTTTTTATTACATTGTATGTTTTATGACACCATGCTACCCTCACTCCAATTTTCAGAATTAAAGCCCTAAAACTTCACCTAAATTAGTGTAATAAATAATGATATAATTGTTTATCATTTAATATAGTTAAGAATTAATTATAATACCTATTTTTTAGTTTACCTAATTATTTCATTAGAAAAATTACTGTTGCATGAAATTAGGACAACCTTGTTAATAACATAATATTATGTATTTCGTGTTTTTCTTTTTGCCGAGAAGATACACGTGATCGATACCGGTGGCATTCAAAGGGCGAGGTCGTCATTAAATGCATACACCAGTTGCACGGCAAACAAAATGAAACTCAGTTTAAACACTTTGTTTCTGAGATTGGCCGAAGCGAAACATTCGGAACGTCTGGAAACCGCGTTGAAGGCCAGCAAGCACTTGTCTCCTGTTTTGACTTTTTGCGAAAACTCATTTTCCTTGAACAGCAACATAAGGTGTTCGGATCGTTCCATTTAGAGTGGCTCAGTGGCTCTTCGCCCAATTGTCACTTGTGTACTTGATACAGCAGTTGTATGCCCCATGCAGGTTGATTTGCCACATAAGGCCGGAAAGTTCATACTTGGAGCTGTCCCTGTCCACGTTGAGTCTGGCCACGTCGTTGCGGATGATGCCACCCTTGAGTATCCCGAGTTATGCGCCATCGGACGACATAGAACTCCTACAGGCAAGTTTCAAACCTACCAGTAGGTACCTTTGCTACAGCACCAGGTTGTTGGACATTGACTATGAACGGTTTGACATGAATATGACTGAAAGGGAGGGAAAGGAGATGGGATAGAGATAAGTGAAGGGTAAATCGATAATTCAGGGATAACTAATTAGAGATTATCGGTAAGAGAATCAGAGAGATGATTCATAGATAGAACATCAGCTGATCATAAGACATGTTCGTTGTTCATGATTCAATGTATTTTTTTCAAGGAAAAGATTATACCTAACTTTGGTAACTCGAGAACTTGAGGTATATATATAAAATGTATTAAATATAAAAACAATTTTAATTTTTGAGTAACGATTCTGTTGCTCTTTTCTAAAATATACAAGTGTGATTGCTTGCATAGAAATATTACTATTCTGTTGCAATCATTGACCAACGAAAGTACAGATAGTTTTGTAGTATACAAATCAATGATGATAAATCGTTTTACGTGGTAGAAAGTCAACTAACATTAACTTATCTAACTCTAGTCCATGTTATACTTTATTTTAGACCTATGTGGACAGGTTGGAAGAAGAATTTGAGCATACGGATTCGACAGATTTCTTAGTATCGCCGGCGGACGTGCAAAAGTATAAAAAAGTAAAAAACGTCATCAATTTTTTCAGCGACAGTGAGCCTATACCCCACGATTCGCTGCCAGAATGGCTGCCGCCCATAGCTTATTCGATTGTCAGGGAAGAACTGCGACTAGTGTAAGATTTCTAAACATAATTAATATCGGTAACGGTCGGTATCAAGTACTTTATATTGTACAGAATGAAAGGCACCGAGACCAAGTTCAACGAGCAGTTCAAAATAATTGCGAGGCAACAAATTAAAGACAACGCGTTTGGCGACGTTGGTGAGTTGATAATAATACCCCAAGTGAAATGAAGATCTTTGTGCCAACCGTGGTCAATAATACTGACATGAATATGTCTTTTGGCTTGAGTTCTGTTAACAATTTGTTTAGTTTATCCGCCGCCTTATTGGTTACCCAGTTCTGCATATGAACAAGTTTATCTTGATATTTCTTTTTTGAAGTAATATTGTGTTTGAGATACATACACGTGTCCCATCCCTTCCAGTGCTCTTTTTGGATACACAGCTCTACTCAAAGTTATAAAAATTGGCATTTAAATTCATCATAATATTGTTCAGACTAAAAATTGTCCCATTTTTGCAGACGTCGAGAAGAACTACGAAAATTGGTTGAAGGAAACCGAAGTGATCATCAATAAGGTATAGGTACTTTGGTATTACAACTGTACTAAAGATATCTAATGCGATTTTGCAAACGGTTTGTGTGTTTGTCCTTGTGTTTGTGTGTGTGTGTGTGTGTATATATTGGACTAGGTAGACAAGCTGAACGGGACCGTCGACGAAATCCTTCTTGTGGACAAACTGCCCATAATCGATACGCAAGAATGGTCGAGATTTTTGAAACGGAACGGCTCGATTTTCGAAGACGCCAGATACAAAAAGCATAAGCTGGAGAGAGCTCAATAGTAAACAATTTAATAATATATTACATAAACTAGTCGTTAGTAAAACATTCCACTAAAAATGCTAACAAATCTACTAGATCAAACTATATACAATACCGGATGGCCGGAAATGAGGATCGAAAGCAGGCGGAGTTTTATAAAGACAAAAGAAAAAAGTTTTTAATAAATTTCGTTTTAATAAATTTTGACCATTTCAACTTAATTTCAGGTTTATTTGCTAAAGTTGAGGTCATAATTTTAATGCACACAATTTTGGTGGTAAAAATACTATTGTGAGACTTTGGCTGATCGAATTTTAATTCTGTAAAATGTTAATAATTTGTTGGTTTTTTTCTGGGTTTTGTGGTTCAACCTCATTTAACAAAAATATGGCTAATAAATTATTCAACTTCAATATATTTATTATTTATCTCAATTTGTACGATTAAAACAGATCTTTATTTCCTTAATTTCGTTTGAAACATTTTTCCTGGAAAGAATCGACGTTCCTTCTAAATATCAACTTTTTCGATTGTACTTTATGGTTTTTCTGCTTTAAATTCATCATGGAGCAAGTGATAAATGCTCTTCGTAGACTTTAGTAACTTTAAAAATTATTTTCGACAAGTCAACATTTTCGGCCAATTATGAGAAAATGCGTGCCTTATTTTTAATGAATCAATCTGTATTTTATCTTAAACAAATATATATAATATGTTATATATCGGAATAAAAACGGAAGTGCCAGAAAGAACATGTCCTTCTCTAGCTCTCCTTGCCCTTAAGACCGTGCACAAGGCTAGTTACTTTAGATAATCACGACTGTTATAATAGCACACATGATTCCTTATATAGTATGCAAATCTACTAAATCTTCTTCGATTAAACAAATTATTATTATTATTAAAATGTTATTTACTTTTTAAATTCGCTTAGATAAAAATAAAACGGTATATTTTATTCAAATAAGTGAATTCCCGTGTCTGATGGAAAGATACTTATTTTGCAAAGATAATAGACAATAATATTAGTTTTGGATTAAATTGGCTTCTGTGTTGTTCGTTTAAGTCTACTGTAATCTCTTATGGGCTTTGTCTTGAGCCGGACTGATAACAAAGAGACCAAATTATCCGAAGGAAAGTAAAAAAAAAAATTCTCTGAAGGACTGAACCTCTGTTCATACTATTCTGTTGACCATTAAAGTAAAAACATGGATTTTAAAAGAATCCCTTCCTTTTTCGAATCTATACTCAAATCATATTTACAATATATTTTAACTATCAAACGGTCGCCAGTCATTCATGGTAATAATTTGAAATTGTCATGATATTTTCCAGTTCTCTGAATATCTATTTGAAAACCTATATGGAAAGAGTGTTGAGTATAAAGAACATGCGGCTTGAAGTGAAAAAAAAAGGTGAATATCCTTAGCTAGTATACTCGGCAGGCATTTTGAAAATATAAATTGCTCATGATTTCGTTTTATAAGGTTACGTGGTAGATACCCTATATTAGTTTAGTGTTCCAGATTCGTCGACCGAACCAGACGGAGCAGACCACGAACGAATCCTCATGCAAAACATTATAAGTCTGTCTCACCAACAAAAGGAGTTGCACCTACTCATCGGTAACGTCATAGACGAGGTCAACACTCAAATTTTGAAAATGTTAAACATCAAGAACAACATCGACAATTTGTTTAGGATGCAGGTATGGACATTATTACAGCAGTATCGTTATTCAAGAATCAGGGGCAGATTTAGACATTTGTAAAAGGAGAGGGGCTAGAAAAAAAATGCATTTAAATTACATATAAGCAATAGTAATGGAAAAAAAATGTACATAAAAATGCGCTCCTACCTAATGCGTACAATTGAAGTACATAATAAAGAGGCATCAGTCCCCTCAACCATCCTCCCATTGGTATCCGCTCCTGACAGGTATTTAATTTTTATCGTTAAAATTAAATCTACCTTGTGAGTAAATGTGTTTCCATCCAAAGCAAGATCTAAGTATGATAGGAATTGAACCACAAAAAAAAATCCAATTTAGCACACAACTCGTTATTGTACCCATTTAAAAGTCAATATAAACTATATTGAATTTACTATAACCTTGGGCAGCTCGCCAATCACTAAGTAACAAATGTTGTATCTCTCAATTCTCAATTCCAGTCGTGCGTTAGTTATTTTCAATTATAAACATGGAAGATTTAATTGTATATATTTTCTTTTAAATAATTACATAATACTGTATTATACAGTATGTAAGCATGTTTAATTAGTTTTCTGATATTTGTTTAAAAAAAACATTATATGTACTATTTCCTGTCACTAAATTCAGTACTAGCCACGTACTTATGTAATATTTTTTTCTTCCCGAAAAGTGTATTTTATTGCGAATATAGTTTTTTAGTTAAAATAAAATTAGTCTAGAGAACATAATATTCAAATGCAAATTGACTATAATAGAAAGCTCTTGGTATAATCAAAAGAGTAAAAATGATTATTAAAAAATGTAAATTATATTTTTATTGTTTTTAATATTTCTCTTAAGAAAATATATGAAAAATATAAAATGCATATTAAAGAAAAACGTTTAATTGGCAATTACTGTATGATTATAACTTATGTTATTGAACAAATTGTCACTTGTACCCTTTTAGTTCTCACCCCAATTATTTTTGACATTAAATTAATTAATTGTTTTTATTTAAATTATAATCAGGGTGAAAAAAATATTATAAGAAGAATTGGAATACATTTTCGTTCAAACGTCGAAAGTTACTTTACTTCGTTTACGTCTAATACAATTTTTCCAGAAACATAACTATGTTATACTATGACTATATTTATATGTTTAAACAAATTAGACTGTTAACATTTTTACTAATGAAAGTATATCTAGTAATTATAATTTGTGCGATGTATGTACTATTAGGATTTAAAAAAAAAAGTTGTCACTAATTATTGTAATTAATTTTTTGTCAAATATTGACTTGATTAATAGGTTTAGTAAACTCTAAGTCGTTTCCTCTTTTTTTTCGAAAAACTGTATTTTATGATAAAGTAGATTAACGTTGCTTTCTGTGAATCATTGACTTTTGAGTGTACTTACAATTGTTTTTCTTTGCAAAAGACATTTTCTTTAATGTTTCCTCAATGTCGGACATCCGTTCACTGCGTTTTGACGTTTACGGTCGAGACGAGAAGAGCACAAAACTAAATGGTCACCATACCACGGTCAACGTGGGTGCGGTTAGGTAACGCGGTTATCTCGGGTTGTGGTAACCACAATTGTGTTTTTACCGGTTACCTCGCTTATGTTGGCGTTGGGACAATTTTTATTGATAACAACAAACGCTCATTAAAGTTTTGTAAAATAATTTATTTCTTACAATTAATAATTATAATTAATAAAGGAAAAAAGTCAGTGCAGTTAGATCGGTATTATTACAACTGAAAGTGATAAAAACAATTTCGAATAAACGCTTCAACGCGAATCTGTAAGGTAATGTTGAAATATAAATATCCACAAAAGCATTGTAATGACAATAATAAGTAATGTGCTTAAAAATGTTTTTTTTGGTATTAAAGTGGATACGATTAGAGTTGAACGTCTGTCTAGTATAATTTATTACCTTAGTTATCCATATAATATCTTAATTAACATAATATAATGAAAATATTTGCAAGTATCTGTTGATTGTTTAACTCACACATAGCAACCTAGATATTAGTGTAATTTCCCCCCTTTTTTCCTTCGTTTCCTTAATAAAAAAAAAAATAAGTTTGACTAGAGATGTTTAAGAAAATTGTATATTTTATAGCCTCATATTAGATCTGCCTCCGGCCTAACTTTAACCTTAAACTCAACATTAAAAAAACGAAATAAAGAATAAGTTTCCACCCTTTTTAGAGGAAACGGTTTATGATATATTTTGGTTCTTCAACGTTTACCAGTAGTACTATATCGTCTAATGAATATTTCATAAAAATTTGGAACTCATTCATGTATTCTTAGAAAAAGTTTATAGAGTACCTTATTTTTAATTAGAAAAATATATATATTTTTAGGGTGTTTTAGCATTTTTGCAATCAAGTACCTTTCATGTAGGATTTCTGGAGTATATAGAGTTGCTAGACGAAGATAACGGTTTACAAGTTAGCTTCTCAGCAACAAATATATCAACTTTTTACCTTGAACTACACAATAATCCCGAGTGAAGTTTTTTTAGTAGGGTTTCAATATTCGATGTTTTCAAATTCAACGCAAATGTGCAATCCAATTATCGTTTCGAACAACCTAACTTTTAGGGCAAACGCATTCTGGAAACACCGCATTCATTTTCAAACCAAACGGGGCACATTGTAATGGGATTACTTAGGTAAGTTTCGATAGCATATTATTGAACACCCTACAAACAACTTCAGTATGGCTTCCACACCGACACCGAATTATTCTTTACACGAATACTTATAGACTAAACTGTCTGGACTACAGTCGAGCTTATGCATATAGTTTTTTAAAAACATTAAAAAAAAAAAAACGTTCGTTTCAAACAAACCTACAGTGTCAAATTTAAAATCAGAATTATACTTACGATTATTTGTACGATTTCAGTTTATCAAACCATGCAAATTGAGTCCATAGAAAGATCACTTAAATTGTAATAAATAAATAGATATAGATAATATAATTTGTAAGCAAACGGTGTAAAATCAGTTGATTGAGAGAAAAGTTATTTGTTTCTTGTGCAAAATGATATGTGATATATTAAACGAAATCCCCTAATTTTTATTTTTGTTATTGTTAAATATTAAAAAATTACTAAATATTTACTTTTTTAAGCATATTTTTCCAAACCTCTATAAGTTTATCAGACTTCAATGGTAATATGTATTTATGTTTAATGAACATTTTGAAATTAGTATTATTTACTAAGAACGTTCGATCTGTCCTCCCTTTCGCCCCAAACTTTAAAAGCAATTAATATTACCCAAAACTGGTTATCGACCAGTCAAAATATTCAGTATATTATTCTCAATCAAAAAAGTCAATTGAAAATATACTTTCCCATCTAAGTGTCAAAGATATTACTTATATGTATGAAATCGCTTGCAAACTAAACAACTAAAAAACATAGAATATAAGATAGTAAAAAAAAAAAAGTAAAAATACAAGCAATGGTTTGCATTAAATTATGATGTTACCATTCAATTTCGGGAGCGAGGTCAAGGCAAAGAGTTGACTAGAAGATGTTTATCGACTATGAGAATATTGAATACTATTACATAGTATGTACTTACTTGAGCATTATTTTAATATTCCTAGGTCATACTATTGTTGTCTATTGTACAGATTTTACCAAATACAGTTTTTTTTTATAAACAATAGGTGTAGTTGTTAAGTTTACCGACAATATTGGCAAACACACGACTGTGACTGTAATAATTTGAATAAACAAAAAAAAAAATAATAATAAGCTATTATTATGTTCATTTTTTCAATTGTTATCCGATTTTTTTGTGTGGTTTCAATTTATAAAAATACATGAAAACGTTGGAAAATTAGAATTTTTACCATTTTTTTTTTACAAACCTGGTAATGTTTCATACAATTAATTACAATCATTATCGTAATTAATGTTTCACTTGAAATAAGTTCGACATTAATTTGAGTAGGTGAAAATAATATATTATTGATAGTGTTCTAATAACTGGACAATTCTTCTTCAGTGTACATAGTGAATAGAATACTTACTCGATTTAGGAATAGTTTTTTTTTGTGGAAATAGTTTCTATTTAAATTTATTAATTTATATCTTTATATATATATATATTTATAAAACAAATATTATAGTGTCCATCTAGGGTTTTAGTGTTGTTCATCATTAGTATAAAAATGTATGCAAACAACAATCATCTAGATATTACATGATTCAATTAAAAGTCATTCGAATAATTTTCAAACATATTATTTCCATAGTTTTAGATGTTTAAGTAATTATTTTTTAAAACATAGTTTTATATAAATATAATAGACACTATATATTTTATAAATTAAATAAAACCAGTAAATATAGGGTAAACGACGTTTTTTATTTGAATGAATTGTGTACCATTTTTTTCTCCACTTACTTTTGATTGTGTTCCTAATTGAATTATACAATTAGGTAAATTATTAAAAATATATTATATTACAGCTAAAATGTTTATTGTTTTTACAGGAACCCAAAAAGCGATCGAAGTCGGTAGAAATCAACTGAAAAGACCAATAGAAAGAAAAAAAGGAAAGATAAATTTGTATATTATTATAATTTTTTTTAAAGAAAAAATAGTATTTTTTTTTTTATAAAAATTAACTAAATTAAAGTAAAACTATTAAAAAATGAAAAAAAAAACAACAATGGATCGACGTAGACGCATTCGAATATTGAAGACGATAAAAACAATAATAATATTTACATAATAAAATAATAACGCATTATGATATGGAAAGCAATCGTAACGGACAAGTGTATGTAAAAAAAAAAAAAAAAATACAACCTAACCGTTTAAATCACAACAATAAAAAAAAGTTTTACGTTTCTATAACTCGACAATGATAAAATTAAAATGGAAATAAATATAGTAATATTAATAATGATTAAAAACCGAAATCACGTATAGATTCTCGACAGACAACACGATAATAATTATTATAAAAAATATATGATTTTTGTCGGTGTTAAAAGAATAAGAATTAATGATTAGTAATTAAATATAACACACAAGCGGTTTAAATAAAAAACAAATATGGCTATTTATACATATGTATATATTATGTTACACAAGCGTAATAAAAATATATGGATAACGTTTACCCGTCGGGCTGCTAATAAAACAATAACAGTGTTGAGTAAAAATATTATATGTACACGGCGTACCTTCGAACACACGCTTGCGATGCGTTTATGCCGACCAGGACAAATAAATCCTACAGAAATCCTGCCCCTGTACAACTGTAATCCGGCGGTTAAGTGCCGATGGTTTAAAACAATAATCCTATAACTATTATTGTGCTAGCAAAAGGAACAGGGTTTCTTGGATTCTGCACTGGGACCGCTCAGCTTGACCAAATCCGGATGGTCCGTTTCGTCGGAGCACTGTCCCATCATCGAATTGATCAGAAACCTAAATACAAAAATATCGTTAATTTTTATTTCATAGTGTTTTCATATAATGTGATCTCAATTTTCCACAAATTTGTATAAATTGTAATAAATATATTTCATTAAATTTTAACTTCAAAATGGTTCAAAATTGGTTCTCAACTAGTCATAATTTTTAGTAAATTCGTGTTAATTATTCTCCCCTCCCCCGTTAGCTTAACTGCTCATCTCACGTTCCCTTTATCCTTCCCTCTCCTTCCTTGTTTCCTACCCTCCCTATAAATAGTGTTTAATCTGATAAATTACTGCATGGAATCGTTGACCATCAGCCCGTCTTTGGCCGACGTCTCCGTCCAACCGATGAAATTGTTCTCCTTGTAGAAAGATTCAATGTCCAACTGATCGATTTGTCTCTGCGGCAAGTCGCACTGAAACACAATAATTAAACTAAATTTAAAATTGTATTTCCTTTTTGTGTCTGGTACTGGCAACACAGCTCTGTCCCTGTGCTTCGTGTACAGTTGTTGTATAATATACACAGGAACTCGCTTCCGTTAGTTTCACTGTCATTAAAATCAAATTTACCTGAACCTTAATATTTTGCTGAACAACAACATACTGAACTACTGGTCAACATCCAGTTTTGAAAAATTACTTTTAAAGTTCTTAAAGATAAAGGTTGGGAGGAAAGGTGAAATGAGGTATTATCCAACCACACTCCACCTCCTTAAGGATTAAACTCTAATAACTTCAAAACCGGTGGGTGACCAGTCAACATTGCCAGAAAAATATTTCTTTTTAAAAAAAAGAAATTGAACTAAATACAAATGTTGCCATTTAAGTTTAAATAGTCAAAGCGCTTTGGAAAATACTAAAAATGGTAAAAATTTAGTTATTTTATGATAATTTAATATAACGTTAACAAATATATCAGCCCAAAAAAACTATGTAAAATTTGAATTGTTTACCCGAAAAATGAGTGTCTTACGTTAATGGGATTAAAACGGTCCAATTGTTTGGCGTTTTATATCAAAAAATCTGTCAAAATTTCGAATACTTAGCTGGGTGGTCTGATTTAAATCCAGAACGATTTATTTGGCCACTCTCCTAAGTTATGTCGAAAACGAATTTTTGCTATTTTTATGTAAAAAAGTGCTTTTTTACTATTGCGAAATTTCTAAATTTAATTATGTTAATTACAAGAAACTGACATTTTTAAACGATAACCCGTTTCCTATATAATCTAGTAAAGTAGTAAAAGAAGAATAAATTATATAAATTTAAAAAACAATACCTTGAAGCTTATACAGGTTAACCGGAAAATTACTTCACACGGTCATATATGCGTTTTGCATTTTTTAACTTTTTTAAAATCTTTGTAACTTTTTCCGATTGATGTTTTGAAAAACGCATACTAGGTTCTTTTTTTCAAATCTTGTCCTCTATCTTTTTACCATAAGTGTTATATCTCTAAAATCACTTTGTTGGGTAGTAGTTATTATTAGTAATTATTATTTAAATTGTTTTGAGTAGAAATGTTTTACCATTGATAACCGTCGATGAGACATCCTCTCGAATGAATCACATGGTATAAATAGTTATTTGAATTTTGATAAAAAATAAATACACTCTAATTAAAATATTATATTTTGTCGAACCTAGTTCGGTCTAAACTTATTATTGTCGAACAACGTCATTGAGATTTTCGTTGGTCCAAAGATAACGTTAATGATGATTTTTTTTCGACGAGTCAATGGCATTCCATTATAATATCGTTATACAGATTAACCAGAACCGGTTAAGATTATACAAATATCAATAATTATTAACAGACAGCGTCATAACAAAATACATTGTAGTCTTAATCTTTTTTTTCCCAATCACTTGGAGGATTTTTTGTATTATTATTGCCTTTCAAGGCTTAAAAAACATAGTTTTCTGGTATTTTCCATGTGCGTTCTATACACGTTTGAATAATTATTTAAAAATAATTGTAAACAGTTTTTTGGAAAAAAAATATTTCAAAACTGGTCCTAGAACTATTGTGAGTATTTTAAGTTAACTATTTTTTTTACACGCAAAAGAAAATATTATATTTGTTTTATAAGTGTTGTAAACATTAGACCTTCATAAAAACAAAAATATTATATATATATATTTAGTGGTTATGTTATACTGTCTATATACACATATAAACAGTATATAACATATTTATTAAACATATTATTATACATATAAATTAAGTATTTTTACTGGTATTATTAATTATAATATTATCAAATGTAGATTGCTAACCAAAATGTTGATCTTATTAAGAGGTTAATGTTGTCTATATTTAATAAACTGGTTATAATATTTTTTTTTCTAATAAAATAACGTTATTGAATTTATTACAACAATTTTTTTTGTGGGACTATAAATCATAAATATCCGCATTATCATTTAGTCGCATCGAGTTAAAAATAATGTAGTTGGTGAATAAAAATATAATTACAATAAATAATATCAACAAAGTGATTTAAGTCTAAATTTCGACTACTCAGGATGGTCTGTTTTCAGTTCTGTATAGATATACGAATTCTTTGGCAACTTTACTAGGTTATGTAAGGCATAGGTTTGTTCTTTTTTGCTTTTTTTATATAAACCAATTGGATTATAATATTGAAAAAAATGCAAATTAAATTGTATTGACTACAAAAAACCAACAATTTTTTTTTTTTTATCAAATATATTTTTAATAATTTCAGAAAATCACCGTCGTGGTTTGGTCAGTTTCAAACAGGGTGGTTATAGGCAGATTTAAATCAAAGTGAATCGTTGAAGTGCCAATCTGAGGGTTGAGGGGTTAAAAGTTGAGACTCTATACGATATTATATTCCTGTGTTGGACAAGTGTGTGTGTGTATAACGATTATATTAGAAAATTATTGGTTGACACGTTTATGGGATAATCGCCCACACAAACCTGAATGACGAGCTAGCCGGTAGACTATAATATAGCCCACGCCGTTAAAATACCGGTCTTATTATTTTGATCATGAACAGTAGATGTTATATAATATGGGTCTTGTAAGACGTGTATAAATATATACATATATATATATATATATATATATAATATATTTTTAAATGTTCTATTCACCTTGTTTCCCAGCAGCATGCACGGTATGGGACTGCCGTCGGGTTGTGTGCACTTGGCGTCCACGTCCTTTTTCCATTTCAGAGTATTGACAAAAGAATTCTTATTCGACAGGTCGAACATGATCACACAGCCGTGAGCATCCTTGTAGTACACCCTGGTCATCCACGTGAATCTCTCCTGTCCTGCAAACCGTCAAAAAATGCATAAATAAAATCTAGAGTAGGAATCCAATAAATTTTATTTGTATTTAAATTCTTAAAAAAAATTATCCAACTGATAATATCGATTGAAAATTGCCTTTAACTCAATTAAACAGAACAATTATTCTAATCGAGTTGTAATTAAAACTAAAAATTAAAAAAAATATAATATGTACACCTAATATAATCTAATCTAATATATAATATTTATCTACTTGTAAAGGTTGAATTTATTATCATGAAACAAAACTTATTTTTTACAGTAACGATTTAACTTTTATTTCAATTTATTCGGATCCAGTTGCACGTGGACTGATTCCCAATTGATAAATACCGCCTGTTAGTATTTTGTGATAAAAAAAAATCATCCCAGGTTTGAGTTATGAACTAATAATAATATTATAATATTATTTTCTTGTGCACAGAATTTGTTGACGGTGTCATCGCCCCACGACTCCACGGGATACTTATGAGTTATGAGTATCACAATACAAGTACAATTTTATTACAAAAATATAGTATGTAGTCTTAATTGTAAATACATTATAATACAAATAATTAACTACACTAATGACTAGAATTTAATATTAAATAACCTACATTAGTATATTATTATTTATTATGATAATAGTTATTAATTATTAACTTATCATCATCGTTTTCGCGAGTTTTTGATTATTAATCAAAGTCTTACAAACATGTTTGATCAGCCTTATCAATAAACAATTAAAAGTATAATATACCACTCATGTGCTCGAGCTTGGTAGCAAAGTATTTACACAAAACTGGTTGTCGACTAGTCTAAAGTTTAACTAAATTATTCTTCAACTAAAAAAAAACTAATTAAATATACACGTTAACGTTTAAGTTATACAAATTGATAGAGCTCTGGAAAAAATAAAAAAATAAAAATTTGGATATTGAAAATGTTTTTATTGCTATTATTTATAGAGAAAATGTGTGTGTTCTCCTTAATGAACCACCCTGTACAATAATTATCCGATAACTCGGTTAAGTTAAAACGAGTGAATCAGTCGATCCAAACACTGTTTGCTTTTGGTAGTGTTTACTTAGTGTTTGTTAATAACTTCATTATTATGTAATGGTCTATCGCATAAACATAATAAGTAGATCATCGAGTATTGCCTTTTTTTCTTAAAAAAAAAAAAAAAATATCTACTCTAAGCGAGTGGTATTAAACTAGTTCAATAATAAATTATTATAACATACTTCAATTGACTTTCCATTTCTTGGAGATTTATCGCACGACATACTAGCGCCGTTAATAATATTTATAGTGTATTTTTTTAAATAAATCAACCTATATGAATACATTATGAAATGTTAATAATATCTGTTTGCATATCCATCGGAAAACCTCGGTCGAGTAGGTACTTATTTATTAACGTTATGGTAATGAATCAACGTGGTCGGTTTGAGGACACTTTAAACGTCGTTATAATACAGCGCTAATAACTATAATATGCTAAACAATTTATGAATATTAATTATGGGGACAATGTCCGTCGAAGATCCTTGACTATAATTTATTACGTATAAGAATTTAGTTAAGTGCCTGCAAAGTAAATAACATGCCACAATCTAGATTTTCACGGCATTTTTAGTTTTTCATTTTATCGACTAAAACTGAAATTTATTTAAGTACAGATAAAATTGCAAAACAAAAAAAAAGCAATCGAGTTTAGTTTGATTACATAACTCTACAATGAAAATACCGTAGAATGCTAATAAGTGGTTAAAATAAATGTCGAATTAGTTCCAAATTGGTGTAGAATATTCTTCAGCTTAAGTTCAATCTATAAGCGTTGACCAAACCAAAAAAAAAACTATCATAATCCTTTCCTTGTAGAAGGGGTGGACATTTTTTTCATTGGTTTTCTTTTTTGAGCAAAGTTGTAAGATTGCATGTATAATTTGCTCAAAATCTATTTTTGAATTAAGCAAAACCTGCTTAGACCGTAGGAAATTTTTAGGCGTGAGTGAATCAATCAACAGGTTCTTGGAAATATTTTAATTATATATTCTTTATAATATATGTTGAGATATTATAAGGATGGCAACGGCTTATAAATTTGCATTGGCAGACTATCGACCCTAACCGTACCACCACCCCAATACTAGGGACAACTTTTTTAGCACATTATTGTCATTCGGTGGTACAAGACTTTAATCGATATTTGCATTTTTACCATTACAGATTCAGCGTCGAAGCGGTTTAATCACTTTAAGTTATACACTAGATTATACAGGGTGTACGTCCATGGTGTTTTACCTGCTATGTCCCACAGTTGCAACTTGATGGTTTCCGTTTCGGATATTTTGATGATCTTCAAGGCGAAATCCACACCCACCGTGCCCTTGTACTCGCGGCTGTAAGAGTTTTGCACGTACCTCTTGACAAACGCCGTCTTGCCAACCGTCGGGTCTCCGATGATGATCACTTTGAACAACTTCTCCGGCATTATGGGCTCTGAAAGTCAATCAGTAACATCACAATACATCCTACATCGGTGTAAGTATAAACGATTTCTGGCACAAAATAGTATTTTCCAATTACACACCCGAAATCTAGATTAATATGGTCTAAGGACATAAATTATTATACGGAGTGATCCGAGTGACGCAACACTCTCAATTTCTAAGAAAATAATTAAAAATGTGTAGATTCCCTTTTTGAAAACATTTTTGTTCATATCGTTATGTTACAATATCATAAAATCACTAAGTAGATGTTTACCTTCTTTTAGTATGTATTTTTCACAGTGCTATTAACTTTTGAAACTCAAACGGTGACGTCAACGTTTACTGAACATTTTGACTGGTCGATAACTTTTTTTTGAATTATAACTTTTAAAGTTATTCAAGTTATTATAGTATTGTCAAAATGCCCAGCAAGTTATTCTTAATTTAATAAGTTACAATACAATTTGTACGTTACCATAACAGTTTCAAGAGTTGTCGAATCTCTAGAATTTACCAAAAAAATGTCAATAAGGTTTAGTACTGTAAAATGTCTTTAAAAAAAATATCTATGAAATTGTAATTGCTTCCAAAGAAAATCAGCGTCTTGCGGTAAATGGATCAGATTGTACTGCGGTAAATGGATCAGATTGTACAGCGATTAACCATGTTTTGGTGTATACAGATTTGCAAGAACCAAAGTTTTTTTTTTTCTACTACGGTCTCATTATAATCAGTTTACTAATTATTATGTTTCCCACCAAACGGTTTCCAACGAAACATAGTTTAACTTATCATCATTAGGAAAAAAAATTGTAATTTCTCATCGAGGGAAATATATTAAATTGTGTGTTTTCATCCAGAGAACATTATCTAGATAATCGATAAAAAATCAATAACATTAATTATTCAGATAAAAACCAGATGTTTGTTATGTTTTAGCTTCGGTGGTTAGCTGTTTTATTTCCTATTTTCTCTATACTGGTACGATAGTTATACATAATACATTACAATGATAGTTAACATACAACACTTAATATGTATGACAATATAAAATTATATTATTGAGTGATATAAATAATATAGATCTAATTATTTTTTAATTTACGAATTGGTCATTTAAAATAAAGTAATTTAACGGAAATATTAACAAATCAACCATTTAATTAATTGTTCACAGGTAACCTTTGTTTATCTAAGACAGATAGACAGTCTAAACAATATTTAAATAATTTAACTAAAAAAACAACACTGGCAACAATGCTTTGTTCCTGTGCTTCGTGTACAGTTGTTGTATAATATACAGGAACTAGCTTTAGAAAATTATTATAATAAGTCATTCGAAAGGAGGCCCCTTCCTCTGTTCAAAAAAAATCTATTACCCGTTTTTAATAATATTTTATGGTAAACAAAACAGAATGATCGCTTGAACGTTAGACACCATTTTCATAAAATAATATATTTAACTATACTTTTAAATTAAGAATGATTTACTGAAAACGTTAACTGGTCGATAGCTAGTTTTAAATAATAATAATTTTTCAAGTAAGTTTAAAATATTATTAAAACTGGTTGCCGACCAGTCAAATTATTCTTTCTATTTAAAAGCGACTACAAAATTTCAATAACTTTGTCTATTAGAGTGTCTTGTGTTATAAATACCTAGCAGGTAGTTATATTATAGGGCGAGTTTGGGTTACTCGAATCAATGGGTACCTACATATGAAAATACCTTAACATATTTTATACCACCAACTAATAGCCATTTTATTACTTTATGACCACGATGATAATATTATTATTACTATTATTATAAACGTTCAACAATAGCGGCTGTGCCTCGTGTGTAGATCCGTCTATTATCATTACTTTTTTTTATTTGCTGGAAAAAAAAATATCACAACGTGCGTTCGGGTCTAAGTACATCGGCGTGTGTGTGTATTTATTATTTGATAATTCCAACGTGCCTGAGATACGGGTTATAACTTATACATAGGTATAGATTAGGTATACAGTATTATTAAGCATATTATAATATTAGTTGCACACAATATTATTAGCCACGTGAACGCGACGATGCAGCAAACACACGGTTAATGTAGGTGGTCGGAATCATGTGAAATATTATATAGTGAGCGAAACAACGGTGAGCTACAGTGTGACTAGACTGATGAAATTTCATTTCTCTGGTACATAATTATTTTTATCACGGTCTTACAACCAGGTCTGGGGTGTGATGTTTAACAATTTTCATAATTTTTACAAGGGCTCATATTGTGGGAAGAGCTAAAGTCGTGAAATGGACAGTGCTAGTAGGTGTAGCCACGAATCACAGAAAAATTGAACATCACTGCGGCTATTTCTCAATATGTCTGTTCGGTTTTTTTATTAACCCTAAGATTCCATTTTGTTTATTCAGTGATATTATTATCATAAGAAAATTCGAATAACTTATCTGTATTGATCCGTACAGTTGATAAGGAGTATACACGTGCAGTGTTTACCGACCTATATAAAAGTATTTATTTTTATCTAAAGTGGTCACACTGTCGCTCGCCTTCTTGATTACTTCGTTGCATTATAATTTGATGTTAAAGATCTATATATATATTTTTTTTACTCTACGGGTTAGTGTTATTTTTCAGGCCATGCTAGAATTAAATACAAAGGCGGTGAGTTGTTTTTTATATTAAAGTAAATTTTAAGCGTCCGAAAGGAAATTTATTTTTTTTAAACAAATTTAAAGCGTCGGACTGGTTATTTTTTGTTTGTTTTTAAAAGCTTTATATTTTACCTCTTAGTCGAAAATCGTGAACGTCACTTTCGGTATCGCTATTTTCCTTGGTGGTCGAAGAAGATTTTGATTTGCGGTAACGAACCGACGATTTATCATGATCGTTTCGGTACTTATGTTGATTTAATTGCGTTTCGCCGTCGATCGCGAACTGTGTCTTTAGCAAAGACGACATACCATAATAATTTTACAACAACAGAAAAAAAAAACCACGCAGAAAAAACTTAACAATTCAAAATATGTTATTTTTAATATTACTAGTTTTTGATTTTTTACTTAATCGCACACACGTTTATGTAGAAACTGAAACAGAAAAAAAAACACACATAAAAACTGAGGTATTTTATTTCTATTTTTAATGAATAGCATTTTTTTTTAGTTTGCAGAGTTAGAAGTTTTCAGTTGAAAAGATGCTATCGATTTACTACAACTAATGGTCAAGGCACACAAGTTTAACTAGTACATAAAAAATATTTTTATTTTCTTGCTTCGAACATGCTTTGAGTATTTTGAAAATATTTAAAATTCCTTATTATTTATTAATCAATAATTTTATTATTTCGGATAGTTACATTTTTAATATAGAACATAGGCAGTGTAGTATATAGTTTGAAAACCAAATTTCTTAATATATTTCTGGCATCATTTTAATAATTTTTCTGCGATCTGAATTAATGTCAAACGATAGAAAATACAAATAAGTTAGCAAGTCACACAAATGTAACCGGGTTACATAACCTTGATACATATTATGTCTATGACAGGCTTGTCGGTTGGATCGGTGGTAACATCCAAAACACGATGATAACTGTCCGAGTTAGGTCAGACAACAAAATTATGTAGTAATCGTTTTCTACCAACTTTATGGATTTCATTAGACCTCGACTTTGTTCTACATTACCCTAATATGCGGTTTATATCGAATGTATGTATTATATTACAGTAATGTTTGCAGCTATGGTCACCCATCCGAGAATAAGTATATTTGTCGTTACCGCGAAACCTTCCAAGCACGAGGTAGGTGCAACCGGAGTTTATGTTTTTCTATTATTTTAATTGTTACCTAACATCAATATTATGTGTATTATGTATTGTGCACGTCACGCAGGCGAATAGTAAATATTCATAATAACATTCATCGATAACATACTGTTTGTTTAAAAGCAACAACAACACTTGATCTTTTAAAGCGGTGCATTGTTTAAATAGTATTATCTGTTCTCTAGAGTCTAGTTTGTTAGAATACGGATTAATAGTATGGTGCTCAAATTCTTCAAATTGAAACACCGAAAAGGAGATTATTCCGCTTTGATATTAAATAACAATGACTACTGTACTTCAAATTCTGTTAAGACATATCTCAATCTAAATCCGTTGTCTACCTGTCAAATCAATACAGACATTACCTTCGTTTCAAAATGAATAAATAGCAAAATTCCCTGTTGCCCATTTCTAGAACTTATTTCCTTCGACATACCTCAATACAATTCCCGAACATGACCCTCTATCCATATCAAAAACCGTCAAACAAATTATGGTCAAAATAAACCCCTCGAGAGGATTCCGAGGTTGGGAAATGAGTTTACATATTATTTTGGTGTAGTATATAAATTGTATTACATTATGCGACAAATATCTTACCAAATGTTCATTGTACATCTATCTACTGTTGTAATATTTTTTAGTTATCTTATTACTGCTGGTACTCGAGCCCATATTATGGCGTTTATATAATGTTTAAGTGCCGAAACACTTAAAACCCTCCACGACCGTTTACAGAAAAACAACGTTACACGTTATCCAGAGATTATAATATTATCATAGTATATTCAAATGGCGCAGACACGAATCATTAATATGCGGCCTATTACCTAACAGGTGCAATTAAAAACAAAATAATTACCGTCAATGACGTATCCCAAACGATTATTATGAAAATGCCACAGGTAGTCGTCGTTCCGTAGTTGATGTTTTTCGAACATCGACTTAAGTTTTAATAGGTGCGACAATTTCAGGGTTTGTTTTGTTTATGCGAGTGGAATTTGGAAAAATAACTAGGTACTAATGACATGATATTGAGGATTTCCAAGATACAGCAAATAGTGGATAATGGATACACTCCAAACAATATACCAAATATTCTAATCTATTATTAAAGTGTTAACGTTATGTAATATTTCCATTGGGTCAAAAGTGGATTACCAAATTACCAAACATACACATGTACACCAACACTTCTGCCGGATAACCTCTGAACTGAATATGTCTCAACCAATGAGCTAGAAAACAATAATAATGATGTATAGAAACTAGGCTAGATGCAAAAAAAATAGAATCAAGTTCCAAATCAGAGCAGGGCAGAAAAAACATGGTGGAAGAGTAAGAAAAAAACAAATTTTAATCATCGGGCATGATACGGTTCCAATGTTCCCAATCGTGAAAATAACTACTTGATTATTGAATGGAATATAACGGAATTACTTAAGAAAAGACAGCAGATTGGGGTGAGAAGATATCACAGGTCGATGCGAATCTGTAGATATACATCTCATATGAAATAAAAAGCATTGTAAGGACAGATAGTGTTTAGAATTGTATTTTTACTATTAGGGTGAATAAGATTAGGGTTGATCGCCTGTCTTTCTTACTGATTCATTGTTAGCGAATCGACAACATAATAAAATAACCAACAAAAGGAAAAAATACAACATTGTAAAAAAAGTACCTTCTCAGCGATCCACATAGAAGCTAAAATATATTTACTGGTCTTGAGTTGGGTCTGTTAACGCCGTTGTCAGGATCCACTATACAATAAGCAGCTCTGATACCTAAACCACTTTGCTACTAGTGCATCAAAGCTGTTCACATATTAAACTGTTTTTAGTATTCTAGCTAGTATAGATCTTCTAACTATGCGATGTCCAACGGTTTTGCCTATTTTCTCGACCACGCCTCTTCGTTCACATTAACGCTCTCTGTTCACCAAAAACAGGAAAATACCTATACTGTGCATTACTTGATATTCAGTCCGTTTAATGGGTTTTACACCTCTTGAGTTTTTTTTTTTATTCAGATCTACCCACTTCTTCTTCGGTCTACCTCGACCTGTGAATGCTTCTTTTTTTTTGTTGAAACATGCTCAAACCATTCAATTATGTCTTCTCTCAGTTGTCTTGCTATTGGCACAACCCCCGCAAACTTCCTTTTAATATACCTAGTCCTTACACACATCCGGCTCGACGTTCCCATTGCACTAACTTCCATGCATAGTTGCTGGCCTTACGACTTTACCTGCCTGGTAAGAACATTTATTACCGAGGAAAACAACTATAATATAAATTTTATAATTTTATATACTATGCTTTTTATGCTCGAGTATACACCTCATTATTTTCGGTTTCAGTTAGTTTACTTTTCTGAGAAATAAAGCAGTTTTTATCGTTGACATTGTCGATTTCCTATAAAACCACCATTGTATGTCAGGGTAAGGGAATACTCACTGTTTTTAATGAATTCATCAAAACTCGTTATTCATCAAAATTTAGATCAAGTATTGATGTCTTTAAACAGTGCAATGAGGGAAAAAATTATTATGGTTAGATTTATGAATGAATATACAAATTTTAACTTCACATGCTAGCAATACATCATTCACTGTCCCAAAAATAATTTGAATAATAATAAATAACGTTAATATTATATTACGTTAAAATGGTAATCAAATTAGAAACACTGAATCGTGATGTTATTGAATCGGGTAAGATAAAATTACAGTGAGCTGCTGTATCTTTGAAACTAGAGCCGTTCTAAACTAACCGATATTATTTTTAAAAGAAGCGCACCAGACATAAATTATTAACATCCTAAAGTAGGTCTGAGGTTCTCAACCAAACAAGAGTAAACAGTTGTTACCCTAAGAGAAAGAAAACATTAACAGTAAATAAACATTAAGCACTAATATTGTTCCCCAAACTTAGGCCATGCTTTGGACCTGACCTAACATTGGATTGATAAACGTTTAAACGCCACAAAATGTCCAACAAAAAAATTGTTGAAAATTTGAAAATCACTTACCTCTAAATTTGTGGTCTAAAACAAAAACCAGGTAAACAAGATGTGTAATGTTAACGACTCAAACGACCTTCAAAAAAAAAAACATTACACGTTAGATGTAGGTACAACAAACATGACCATTTTCTAACTGACCAGTTTCACCTTTCTTCGGATAACCTTGCTAAGACAATACGTAAACAGTATTACAATATATTAAAAAATAATAATAATAACGACTATAACGTAATATATAGTTTTTTATTTAAAGTAAAAAAAAAAATGAATTTTGTGTAAACGAACGCAGCGTGGACGATACTACTTTATAGCACATTTAATCACTGACTGCCGACGCTTATTTGATTAATTTTTTTAAGGATGAGTTGGAACAACCAACACTAATATAATATCATGTATTTATTCTTATCGGAATGACCTAAAACTGTACTATTATAATAATTATAAAGAACACCACAATCAAGGTTACATAAGTACCGATTTGCAACTATAACGATAACGTGTGTTTTCCCCGTATGATGAGCAAAAATCTAGTCACAAGTTCTTTATTCGTTGAAAAAAAAAATATCATGTTTTACTTCCTACATTATTTTTTTAATAATATAAATATTGTAATATTATGGATTCAAGGTGTCAAGGATGTTTATTTTTGTACTTTTATTATTAGAATATTATCGTTAAAATAATTTATTTAAAATGGATAAGTATGTTTCTTGTTACTTTAATCGTTTGTTTTTTTTTTATTATTATTATTATCATTATATTTATAATCGATTATTTAAATAGCTTTATTTTTACATAGAAAACAAAAACCGGAATTATTATATAATTTCCTTTTGTGTGCAAGAAAAACATTGAGATCGGTTCTGAACTTGGTAAAGAAAATAAAACACACAACTCTACTTTACGCCTGGTGTGGTAAATGCCATTTGTAAGGTAGAAATAGGTTTATCCTGACCAACATGACCCTGACAAACCCTTAACCTAACCAGACAAAACCACATTTTTTGAAAATATGAACTCAAATCTTATACATAATTAAATATGTATTTTTTTTTTTTTAATAAAATTTGCAAAATATTCCAAAATATGATATAAATATATCTCATTTTCTTAATTATGAAAAAAACAATTTTTTCCCTATCAACTCCATTATTTAAATGACTGTGGACATTTAGCACTGTGTGAATTTAGCACAGTGGACGCACTGTGCTAAATTATACTAGACATTTGGA